GACGAGAGCACAGCCATTGCACTGGTTGTGAATCTGGTTCTGGCAAGGCCCAAGATGTCCTCTTAGCTTCCTAAAGCTCTGAGGTCGACTCCTAGTGAGGAGGATGACTCATGACTGCAAGTCATGGGCAGTGCTCAGAGCTTGGGCTACCAGAGCCAGCTATGACTGATGCCAGGAGGTCTTCTCGGCATTGATGACAGACCCGCTGCAGAGAATGTTTCTGGAAACTGTATCACTAAATGCGACTTGGTGCTAGTGTAGAAGAGAGGAGTATTTCTAACAGAAATAGTTCATGAGCAAAACCACAGGAATAGCTCTGACATGCCTCGCATCATCTGGGGAGGGATTTCTCATCATGAGGTGCTATAGGAGGGAGCAGGGTTGCTGAAAGCAAGGCAGCTTGGTACCACAGGGTGACCAGTGTGCATGACTGCTCCCTTGGGGCTACTTCTCACCATCCAAGCTGGTGCAGACAGACAACAGGGATGCTGGGGGTGTGGGACCAAGATTGTCTCACCAACGGTGCTTCAGCCATCACCCTTTGTAACATAACTGTTCCTCTGAAGTGTTAGCAAAGCAGTTTCCTCGAAAAATAAGAATATTCAGGAAAAAAAGAATTCTGTATGTGGTGGGTGACAGCATCTTCTAAGTGAGACACTTAGGCAGCACTCAGAGCTCAGGCCTCCAGACACATAGTAAAGGAATGCAGATGGGCTCAGCCACAGCTTCAACAGATTTCAAGTCCCCTTCAAGAAGCAGCTAAATGTGGGTTGTTTGGATGGTGCCAGGGGGTCCTCCAGCCCTGTTTTTAAGCATTGCTGATTGTAAGGGAAAGGTGCAAGCCTTGATCTGGCATCCACCATGCTGCAAGCTGCAGCACTGACTCAGAGGCTGCCAAAAGTAGTGGCTGCTTTACCTCTTCCTGCAGGGATGTTCAGTGTTATTGTCTGACACTGTTCATGGCTACGTTTCTTCAGATGGTTTGCAACAGGATTTGGAATTTCATAGAGATGATATTTGAGAGTCAAGACATGCATCCTACAGCATGAGGAGGACCAGATCTGGATGAATATTCAGTGGCTGAAATATAACTGCTTCAACTGTCGAGCTTGGGCTGCTCCTGGAAATGACCAGCATTCGCACATGCCTGTCCTCACATTTTCTGTCAGCTTGCCCTGAACAGACAAGGCTGATAAACTTTTCCTCCTTGCCCTGTGGCTTAAGAATGGGCCAAGAAGTTTGTAAACTCAGTATTGCCCAAGATGAACGATGCTTGGTTGTTCATCTCGGGGAGGTTGCATGGCCTGCCCATAGCAACTCACCCATGGAAGAGCTTAGCTCTCATGTTCAGAACAGTTTGTGACACGGCTGGGTAGCAGCCTTTATGCCTGTCAGCATGAAAAACAATTCGGAGGCCTTTTCTCCCTGCACAAAATTATCATTGAATAATATCAGGTCCCCTCTGTGATGGTCTATCTGCAGTGCTTACCACAGGAGACAAAGGAGATGCTGTTAGCTGGAGCATAGACCAGCTGTGGTAAAGTAGTCTCCCCTAGATTGTGCAGTATTTGTTGGAAAGCAGTAGAATCTGGGAAAATTGGGTTCCTGAGTGCTGCTCCTGCATCCCAGCACAGGGAGAGCTGTGGCAGTGAAACCTATGTGTTGCAGGCACTTCTTGCATCAAGGCAGATGCTGAATCTTATAGCCACCACACTGGAAATCATCATCACCTTCCAAGATATGCTTCAAGGGAATTTGTAACATCTCCTTTTTCTCTAAACAGGCCTGGCTGACACCTGACTGCTGCCCTGAGGCTGTTAAATTATTTGTCTGCTAAGAAGGGCTGTGAAGTAAGCAGAAGAAGCAGAGAATGTGGGCTTTGAATGCACAATCATCTGACTGATAGCATCCCCCTTGCTCATGTGGATGTGGTGTATCACTTGGCCTTTCTGTGTCAGAAGTCAGAGTGAAATGGTGCAAATAATTTGGCACACATGGAAGCTGTGAAGGGAAGTGATGGAGCATCCTCATTTGGGATACTTCACAGCTAGATGGGGCAGATTGCTGTGTCCTTGGCAGGATGTTGTATGTGACTCTAGAAGTCTTTGCTATCTCTGATTCCCGTTTGATGATGGGATGTTGCGTGTAAATTGTCTCAGTTTAAGGCAGATGCTCTAACGCCTGGGACACTGGACCAGAACCTAGGAGAGTAGAGAACCATTCTTGGGTGGGCTGCAAAGCTTCTTCATTCTTGGACAGTCTCCAACCTCCCTTAGCTCACATGTTCCATAAAGATACATCTCCTCCTCACGGAAAGTGCAAAGCTTTGCACGGTTCTTTAATATACTGACTGGTCACAAAGAAGGCCCTACGCAGAGAAGCTGCGGTCCATCTCACCCAGTGTAAGATACCTACCATGAGCCAGTTACCATTAAACTGTCTCTATAGTTGAGGAGGAAAGACAAGCATTTCTAAAGCATGGACTGACTAATTTGGTTTTGAGGTCCCTTCAGGAGGGTGACTCCTGTGAAGGGAATGCAGATAACTGGGTCAGATGTAGATACCTACAGTGCAGGGGTCTAAATCCATGTCCATGAGCAGAACCAGCATCAACTGAGGTTGGTGCCATGGGCCGATGGAGGGCTACAGACTTCCGTGGCAGCAAGGTTTGCCAGTGACTTCTAGCCACCAGCTTCACTCTGCCATAAGGGGAACAGAACGCATGCATGCAGACTTTATCAGGTACTGAAGGCTACATTTTTCCCTCACAGCAAGAATCTATCTGTGGTGTCTTAAGAAGTGCTGGAATTTGGCAGGAGATCATTGTCCCACGTGAAGCCTTCACTAAACATTTGCTTTGAACGTGAGACGGAGGACATGGAAAAGTCACAACCAATGGCATCTCAGGGAGCCTTGTGCTTTGGGGACTCCTCTGGAAGGGATTATTATTCAGGTCCAGCCCATGTCACGTTGTAGACATGAGATGTTGGCAGAGCTCAGCAGGTTGCTCCCAAGGACAAAAAAGCTGTTCTTCCCTCTCTTCCCCTTTCAACACCAGCTCTCTCAAGCAAGCTAAGGGACTGTGCTGGTAGGCAGGACATACGCATGCAGCTATATTGTGACTGCCGGAAGGTATGTGTCCTTCTGGCGAGCTGTACTGAGTTTGCAGGAGGGAAGAATGGAAATGAATTATATGTTTTACCTTGTGACACTGGTGTCTACCTTGAAGACAGATTTGCAAAAACAAAGGTGTAGAATATGTTACTAACTCAAAGTACAGGCAGGGTTACCTGAGTGATGGGATGATCTAGCTTGTGCGGTCCTGGGCCACACAGAGGTCTGTAGCCTTGCACAAGGCAGTCTGTAGTGTATGGTGGGCTGTCTTTGCATGCATGTAAATATTGAGAGGTGTGTCCAGGAGTCTCTTCTTCATTAGATGTCTTATCAATGCTCTGTAGTTGAGGCCATGCCGCTAAGCCACTTTTAGTGACCCTGACCTTCTGGAGGCCATAATCTCCTGCTGGTTTACAGGGTCTCATCGTGTGAGGTGGCAGCTTTCGTGCAATATCAGTGGCAGGTGCTTTTGCCCTGACTCTCAGCTTCATCCTTTCTGCTCTTAGCACGCGTTGAACATTTCTTTTACACTAAGGGTGTTCCTGGGTCACCAAGGACGGAGATGGCACCTACCACTTCTGAGGACCTTACCCATTTAAAGGTTTCTGGAGTAATTATGGGAGCTAGTCTGGCTTCCGCACCAAATGTCATGCAACAGTCACAGGTTCACACACCAAAATACAGAACTATATACAAATTTAGGACGGAAGGGACCTGTGGAAGTCTCTATTCCAACCTCCCATTCAAAGTAGGGTCAACTTCAAAATTAGATCAAGTTGCTCAAGACATTCTCCAGGCAAGCTCTGATCATCTCCAGGATGGATATCCCACAGCATTTCTGGGCTGCTCTTCTTGGCCTGCACCACTCTCACAGTGACTTTTTTCCCCTAATAACCAATCAGAATTTCTCTTGTTGCAACTTGAGACCATTGCCTCTTCTTCTATTGCCGTGCATCCCTGAGGGGATTCTAGCTCTATCTTCTCTATAATCCCATTGTAGATGTACAGTTCCTCCTCATGTCATCAGGATGCTTGATTTCTCTCAGATACCTCTTAGCCATTTTGAGTGTTCTTCATTTTTGTTCCTTGCCCTTACCTGAACAAATCTAAAAAGCAACGACAAATGTAGACACACATCCCAAATCTTAGAATGCACACTGATGCTTGGATGTGGCCAAAATACATGTCATAGTGTCAAAATCATTATCTTCTGCATGGTTTCTCTATGGCCAGCACCACGGCACCACTGTGCAGAACTCAGTTTGATTTTGTGTTTCAGTTGTGTCTGGGAATGAATCGATAGAAGATGATACCATGGGGGCTATCTAATAAACAACAAGGCACGAAAGACCTTTATGGACAAAGTATTTATCATACTTACAATTTCTTTCAAAAACCTCTGAACCCACCTTATTCCACCTTCTTGACTTATAACAGGTCCTTCACCCTCCCAGAATACAGGGTAGCAATATCCAGCTGCAGGAAGTAGTGCTGGATATTCAAACCCAGCCTTCGTCCCAGCCAGCACCCTTTGCCCACACATGGACTCTCTGAGCAACTCTCTGAGCTGAAGCCATGAGGCTGCTATTACAGGTGTCAGGCAGGGATCAGTCTGTCCCGGGCGCTAGGGTACTGCCTTCATCAGAACCAGCCCTGCCCTGCTCATCTGTCTGCAAAAGTGAGGTCTGGGTCGGTGCAGGCTACAGCTCCTCCCTGGCAGTTGTCCTTGGCTTGGAGCACTCTGCTGCACCAAGGCTGGTCCAGCAGCAGCAGGGATCAGTGCCAGTGTATGTGCCACACACAGATCCCCGGCACATCATCCCTGATAGATGTATTAGTACCTCAGGAAAATCCTGCATCTTTTCCTGACACTCTCTCTCTCACAGTTTTACAGCTACGGCTTCAGCAGAGAAGGACCCGTGAGCAGCTGGCAGACCAAGGCATCATGCCACGTGAGTATCTTTTTCTGCCTTTTTCACCCACTCCTGGCTCAGAGGAGCTGTGTTCATCTTGGGCACTGCTGGAGCATCGCGTGGCACCAGCTGCCTGCTCAGACCCACTCAGCTCTGAGCCGATTGCTACCAGGGGGAACTTTGCTTCCTGCCCTGTAGAAATATTATGGTCCTGGTGCTGTACAACGGTGCCCAGCATTTGCCACACAGATTATAATGTCGCTGCTCAAACTGAAGTGAGCAGAGACGCTTAGCTTACACCATCCAAAAATTCAGCTGCAGAAGTCCCTGTAGCAGGACAAGGATACCCAACTCCAGGCAGAAGACTCACAAAGCTCTTCACGTAGGCAAGGGCAGAGAATCTCATGTCCTCCTGTAAAAGTCAGGAACCTCTGTGGCAGGATCAGACCCACAGAACAAGGAAGAGGTAGAGAGGGCCCATTCCAGGAGGTTGTGGAAGAAGGAAGCGGTGGGTAACTGTCTTGGCCCCAATGTGGAGAGGCAGCCCCTAGATGAGACATACCCAGATTTGTGCCTGTGCCCAGCCAGGAACCCAGGAACTGTCAGTGTACACTTGAGGCCAATGAAACCCCACCTGGGCCTGCCTGCTGCAGACTGCTGAATGGCTGGTGATATCCGTGCTTTCCCTTCTCTGACCACATTCATCCTTGCTAACCTGGCATTCAAGCCTGAAGGACAAGCTGCAGGCCAGTACTATCATGTAAACATTCAGCATCAGAAAGCCAGATGCTACAGCCCAAAAAGTAAGTGAACAAAAATGTTGCACCTGCAGGTGTATCATGAAACCTGTAGCACCACTGGAGAAATTATGTTGGGAGCTCAGCCCTGCTCGATGGATAACTACATCCTGACCTAGCCCTCAGGCTCCATGTGCATGACTCTGTGATTATCTGGGACCCAGGAAAAGGATTACCTTTTCTGTCTTATCAAGGGCCCCTTGGGTTCACTGCTAAGATCACAACTTTCCAAAGGCTGTGTCACTTTTGTCTTTTCTGGCTAACCTCGAAGACTGTGATGCAGCTCTTGTCTAAACAGCAGAACAACAACTCACTAAGAGCATGGCTCTAGCACTGCTTGCTGCACCCTACCTGTCCCTCTGCCCTTCTCATGTAGCTTGCCTTCCTAAAGGACCATGTCAAGGTAGCCAGCAACAGATGATTTCTCAATACAATATTGCCAACATCAAGCATTGAGAAAACTTGAGCAGGATGACAAAATGATCACAGTTTTAAGAGTGATAAATGCAGGTTCTTTCCATTTTTCTTCTGTTTATTTCTTTAAGCATTCAGATTTTATGCTGCCTGCCACCAAAGGCATTTTAATCACAGGACTCCAGGAGCTGGAGCTTTAAGCAAAATATTGTGACATTTGTGATAGCATTGCAAGCACTGGAAATACAGTCAGTGGCCAGAAATATGTCTAACGTCTCCTGAACTGCTAAGTCCACTCTGTAAAAGCGGGCACACTCAGACAAGGTGCAGGACACCCCATTGCACACGTACTGAGCGGTAGTGGCAACTAAGAGGTTTGCGTACCTGACGCTGCTCTGTGGGGCCCAGTGCATGGGCCTGTGCTTTTACAAATGACACCTAATGTTTAAAACCTTACACGTTACAGACCACATGTTAGGCCCAAGTTATTTGATGGCAACTGAAGGGTATTTTCCTGTTACCTACAGCTTCTTTACACTCCCAACTTCTAGGCTGAAATTTTGCAGTCTGGTTTCTGTCCAAGAAGGCCATTTTGGGAAGCTTGAGCACATTTCACTCACTGGAAGTAATAGAAGAAAAGGCACTTCTGCCATTATAAAAACAAACATGCAGAATTTAGCTGCTGAATTTGACCTCAGGAGGAAGTTTCAGATGTTAGCGTTTAATACATGGGGGCCACAGGCAGCTTCCCCATGGTTTGGGCATGTGCAGTCATACCTTATGAAAAACAAGTCTTTGTTTAACCGTATCTCCCCATACCCTGTTGCCTCTGAAGACCAGCAGATGAGGTGATCTCTAGGAGGTGCACTGGGACAGGATTTCAGTTCACATGCATTGCAGGAGGGCAAGAAATGAATCCAGATGGCTGTAACCCACAGTGGTTGAGCATAACCCTTCTGGAAAGAGAAAAGATGGGCATTGCTGTTCTCCATGGTGAGAGCCAGGTTTCGTAGCAGTCTTGGAGCATGCACTTGATCCCACATTAGATTTTGCAAAAGGGCTGTTTTCAACCCATTGCATATATTTTCTGCTGATATAATCCCAAGACAGAGAAACTTTGTTTTTCTAACTGATCCATTTTATACAGAGACCAGAAAGAGATGGAAGGTCAGAGTAACAGAATAGCATTGGATAAAAGCTTTGAGGGCTTGTAGAAAACCTTGTAGGAAGGGTGATCCCACATTAGATTTTGCAAAAGGGCTGTTTTCAACCCATTGCATATATTTTCTGCTGATATAATCCCAAGACAGAGAAACTTTGTTTTTCTAACTGATCCATTTTATACAGAGACCAGAAAGAGATGGAAGGTCAGAGTAACAGAATAGCATTGGATAAAAGCTTTGAGGGCTTGTAGAAAACCTTGTAGGAAGGGGGAGTT